TAGTTGTTTTGTCTTTGGCAGTTTGTCTTGGTCCACTCCTGAGGCCTGTCCAGCCTCTGCCCCTTGAGCTGTCCCATAAGAGCCACCAGTAATCTCCATGTGCTAAGGGAAATGAAAAATGTTTCATCTGTTCAGTCCCATTCTCCCACATTTGATGCTGCTCATGCTACCGCAAAACAATCTTAGTATTATTGACTTAAAAGGAAACCCCTAAGAAGTGTATCCCCACCTCATTTCTCCTTCACAGGCCATACTCTACCTCACTCCAGCTCCCTATCAACCCCATCCACCCACATGGTGGTTTTAAATAGGATACTATCTATATAAGATTAGTTTCCTCATTTATGTTTTCAATCTAAACTTGTCCTCTGAGTTCTGAACCATAAACCACTTTCTACTTGACATCTCTGATTGAATGTGCCTGCCATTAACATTGGGAACTGGCTTTGCTCTAAATGACCTCTGTCACCCTGCTCCCGGCACACAGGTCCGTTACATCTACATCCAGACACACGCACATACATACGTGCACATATACATGTTTGAACACGCACACACACATATACATGTCTGAACACGAACACACACACAGCAAATCTGCCTCCAAAGTCCCTCATATTAGTTACTGTGCAACTACTCTTCACCTTCTCTTTTTAGGAGCCAGGGGGTCCACATGAACTAATCCCTTTCCTCCACCTCCACATCTGCCCATCCCTGTCTTCTAAATTTATTTTCCAGCTGTCTTGAATGCCTCCTCCACTCCCCTTCTTCTCGTCTTGTGACCAGCCTTATCCAACCCCCATCATCCATTACCTGAACATCTGGAATAACCTCCTAAGTGGTCTCCATACTTAATCATTTCTTCTTTTGTCACTGTACAAATCCATATTCCAAACACAACCAGAGTGAGGCTTTTAAAACATGAATCTGTTCGTGCCAATTTTTTCTTAAAATTACCTGCACTTGAAATGAGGCATACCCTAGAGCAGTGGACTGGGGAGCCCCCCTGAAAAACAACAAAGCTGAAGCCTCCGAGATAAACAAAGGGAAGTTCAGCCAGAAGAGCTGCAGAAGAGAGTTGCATTCTTCTTAGAGAACAAATGCAAAGGCCCTGAGACATGGAAGCATGACACATTTAAGGAGAAAAGAAAACCTATGGGATGGTGGCCTGGAGTCAAGCATCAAGCATTAAGAAATGGTAATGAGGAATTAGCAAAGGTTGGGCCACTCAGAGTCTCACAGGTCAACAAATGAGGCAGTTTCATAATTATTTCTAATTTTGCATCTATAAATATATATACATATACATTTATGAGGATATATACACAAACACATATATATATACACATACATGTGTGTTTGCTATATAGAGACAGACTGAAGCCGAGGCAGAGAGAAAGAGAAAGGGAGTCACTCGATTTTATCCATGCCTGTTTTGTTCAGTTTATTCCCCATTGCACAGTACAGTGATTGGACACAGGTGCTAAAATTTTTTGGCTCATATGAGGGATAAATGTCTCCAACATTCCAACCAGCTTAACTGGCTGGTAGCTGCCCAAACAAATTGCCATTCCCCTTCTAAGATCCTCCTTTTTGTCCACCTAGGTGATATTCAACCAAGGAGTGATTTTTGTCCATAGGGGACACTTGGTAATGTCTGAAGACAGTTTTGATTGTCACAATTATAGAGGAGGGGACACTACTGGCACCTGGTGGTAGAGTAACTAGAGATGCTTCTAAACCTCCCACGTGATACAGGACAGCCCCCAGAACAATGACAGGGACTAAAATGTCAAGAGGACTAAGGTAAAGAGTTCATTCAACTGTCCCCTAAGCCTCTCGGCAGCACCTCTTTGGGAGTGTTTTCCTTCCTCATCAACCAGCATGAGCTTAGGGGACCTCCTCTAAGCCCCACAAATCACTTTCATGTGATCTGTCCCTTGCCTTGTAACTGCCTGTTCTAACTGCCTTGCAGTGGAAGTTTGGCTTCAGAGTGCCCTCAGCTCGCCCCACACAGTATACTCCCCATGCGCTTTCTTCAGTGAATGCTAGGGATGGATAGGAGGGTAAAAAAAGAACTATTTATTGCAACATTTTACAATGTATAGTTAACATGTGGGGTGAGCAGGACGCACCCAACTCCCTTCTCTACTTCGGGGACCCTCTCTATGACCCTCCCTATGTCTGTGCTAGCCTGTAACCTCCAGAAATGGCGTGAGCTTCCTAAGAGTGTAGTTTACTTAACGAGTCATTGACTTAAAATTTGAGTTACTCAAGTTTAATCCCACCAAAATAAGACATAGAAGTAGGGCATATGATGGGTTCCTAACAGTGAAAAAAATAGGGCTGAAGCTTCATTTGCAGTCGGCTCTCCTGTGAATCATGACCTGCTTGATCCACCAGCAAAAATAGAAATTCTGTGGCCACAGGTTTACCAGCTTCAGATCTTGCCTCTGCAGTCAGAAACACTTGAAGCCCATCTCTGTGGATTCAGGTTTTGAAGAGGACTCTGGGTGAAATTCTGTGTGCTTTGGCAGGGTGCTCCCCTGCCCTTCTCATGGCCCTCCCAGCTCTACATGCTTGCTTGCTTGCTTGCCTGACCCTCGTCCCCTCTCCCTGCCAGTTGGCTCTGGTCCTGGGGGTCGGGGAGAGAGCACTGAGGCACAGGAGGTGAGGATGGGGCCGGGCCATCACCTCCAGTTCACTGCTTCTGTTGCTGGGACTGAGGTACCTTGGTGTGAGACTTGGAACATTCACTGCTGTCCAACGGGTTGTGTTCCTCCTCCTCCAGCTGCTGCTCCTGCTCTTGGTCCCGGGCCCGCCTTCTCTCCAGCATCTCCTCAAAAAAGATCTGGCAGCTGAAGCCCTCTTGGATGCCATACTGGGCGTGCTCCAGGAGCGCCTCCAGCGTGGGGAAGACTCGGCAGCAGGCCACGCAGCGCAAGCCGTAGTTGGTGGTGACCAGCCAGTCAGGGGGTTCCCGCAAGTCCTGCAGGCAGCACTCCAGGGGCCCAAGCAGCTCTGAATCGTCAGGCTCCGAGCAGCAGTTGTTCTTACTGGCTTCTAAGTCCCAGCGCAGGTCGGTATTAGAAGCCATCTCAAAGGAGGAGCCTTTCCTCCTCTGCCTCTTGGTGAACTCGGCTTCGTGAATGCGGGGCTTCCTGCTCACTGGCTCAAAGCCTGTGTCTGTCTCCCAAGCCACTGCCACACCCTTCACCGTCTGCACGTGGGTATAGAGGGCGCACACGCTCTGCTGGGCATCCTTCTCGTCATACATGCAGGAGTAGCAAGACTGGTACTGGGAGTAGGACTGGTACTCGGAGGAGGACTGGGACGACTGGGAGCTGCTCCAGCTCAGCATGCCCCGAGCCCTGATGGCAGAGAAATATAGGTTGTCCTCCTGGGAAATGCAGGGCCCGGGCAGCAGACATGTTTCCTCTCTCTTTAGGGGCCCTGAGAGGTGGAAGGACATTTCATCAGTGCCCCCCAAGAAATCAATGCCACACACCACCCCCAGGAGCCCAAGTTCCAAAAAGGCTCAGACTGGGGCACCCCTAGGCAGCTAGCATCACTTCTTTGTGCCCATTTTGTCTGAACTCTGGGATCATATGATGATAATGATCATCTATCTCATGGGGCAAGAATAAAGGTCAAATAACGCATAATGAATATACCTATAAAGTGCAAGGATCAAATAATGTATGAATGTAAATATAAAAACTTGAAGGCCAAATACAGTCAGCTGGGAATCCCTACAGTACAGTCCTATTCATTGATACTATATGTAAGACATGGATAAATTCTGAATACATTATGCAAAATGAAAGAAGTCAGGTTAAAATGGTCATGCAGCATGTAATTCCATTTAGATGATATTACAGAAAAGGCAAAACTATAGGGAAAGAGAATAGATTAGGGGATACCAGAAGCTAAGGGAAACTTGGGGTGATGAATATGATGATTTTGGTGGTGGTTACACAAATGTACATGTGTTAAATTGTGCACTTGAAATTGGAGAAGTTTGTCTATATAAATTATGGTTCAATAAAGTCAATTTAAAAAGCAACACAAGTGTTTTGTCCAGGTCTACCTGTTAAGGGGAAGGATGTCCTAAAGGAACTCTGCAGAGTTTTGTGGACTCCACCCCCTACTCCAGCTTTCTGGATTCCACCCTCTACTCCAGTGATTGGAAAACAACAACTCCCAACAGTACCAGGGAGAGAACTGTGAGGACCCAAGGGCGGAGCTAAGCAGGCATTCCGGGACTTTGGGGGATAAATAGAGAGCGGTTTTACAACTGTCACTCTGGAGAGGTAATGGTTCTCTCTCTGTTACAGGGTAGCCCAGAGTGAACTTGGGCTGCCTATCTGTGGGGCCTCACCCAGGCTTAAAATGTAATTTTCTGCAGACACACACAAAAAGGGTAATGGGTTTATTTACAAAAAGGGGAAAGGAAAAGGAATAACCTAGAGAGAGAGAAGGATACAAAGTAACTGCAATATCTTACCAGTCGGGCTAACTTGGAACTCTGGTCCCAAACTAACTCTGCCAGCCCCCAGTCACACCGTCTGAGAGCCGTTGCTCCAGAGAGAGAGAACCTCTCTATTTATCCCCTTAAGTCCCAGAATGCCTGCTTATCTCCGCCTTTGGGTCCTCGCAGTTCTCTCCTTGGTGCTGCTGGGAACTGTAGTTTTCCAGTCACTGGAGTGGAGGGTGGAATCCAGAAAGCTGGAGTGGGGGCGGAGTCCACAAAACTCTTCAGAGTTCTTTTAGGACATCCTTTCCCTGAACATGTCCACCCTCACCTTCCCCTTGGGACATCTCACTCTCACCTGAACTCTCATTGTATCCCTGTTACCATGTTTAAGTACTTGCTATGTTTTAATTCCTTTAATCTTTTTTAAAAGAGCCTAAGAAATTGAATTGTCATGATTCCTCTTTGACAAATTAGGAAACAGAGGCCTACAGAATTTAAACGATAGAGGGACTAAGGCCAGGCACCAGGCCCTGGGCCCAGCCAGTGTTCCCCTTGGTGCTGCTCACTATCATCTATGGTGGTCTACAAGTATTCTAGATTAACTTTAGCCGATTATAAAGGATTATGTATGTCCCTGCCAAAATCACAGGACTGGTAAGACAAGATTATTAATATTTTCAGGACTGATAAGGTACAAGATTAATATTTCCAGGACTGACATGGTACAAGATAGTAATATCGTCACAGGACTGATAAGGTACAAGATGATTAATACTTTCAGCCTCGTGCCTCCTGAAGTCATCTCCTATAGTCAGAACAGCAGCCTCGCTCATACCACTATTCATTTTTATGACCAACACAGGATTTAGATCATGCCACGTCCACCCCTCCTGTTGCCCCTCCAGGACCCCCTCCCAGGGAATCCACCTGATCTAACCTCTACGGTTCCTTTCAACCTACCTGGCCAGCTCACTTCCAGGCTGTCCTCTGTGGACTCAGGACTGGCTAAGCTGAGGGTGGTCCCATCTGTTGGTGACTGCTCCCCACTGTGGTCCATGAAGTGGCGTTTCATGGTCTGATACCTGTGCCCACGGGACTGAGTGCTCCAGCTGTTCGGTAAGAGTTGGCTTGGGCTGCGCTGAAGCCCTCCACTGCCCCCCAGCCCAAGTGGCTGCTAAGGTCCCCTTGGTCACCAGGAACATCGCTTCACTTTGTGACCTCATCAATGACATTGGTCTGTTCTGTAACCCATGACAATGATAAAGATCCAGTCAGGATGCCAGGAGCAGTTTTTCACCAGAAGCCCATGTCCCCTTGGGACACTTCTGCCTGTGTATTATCAGGGATACAGACAAAACACAGATACATGCTCACAAACATTTATACACTCAAAAACACAAAATCCTAAGCACACCTACATAGATACCCATGTGCATATAAACACATACACAGACACAAACTACTCAGATACATGTGCATTTAAGCATTTAAATACACAGATATCTACAAATATACTCACACACACACACAAACTTGCATACATATATTCACTTAACCACACATATTCATGAGCACAAATGGTCACGTACAGACTGTTATTGTGCCTAGTGAAATGTATTGTGCCAGAAAGAAAAAGAAAAATATTGGATGGTTTCATTCATAGCAGGGTCGGGGGGTGGGGGGGAAGCAATTGTAATAAAGTAAAAACAAAAAACAATGAACAACTATAAACCAGACATTTTACAGGGGTGGAAAGGGGAATGGGATCAAAATGGGGGATGGGAAGAGTGCTCGGGACTATGTTGATGGCAAAGGGGTGAATTGGTGGTAGGAAGTCCACGGGGATGACAACTGAGATGAAAAATGCACAAAATGAAGAATGATGTAAAAAATAAATAAATAAAAATAAATTTAAAAAAAGAAGAAGTTGTAAGGCGTGTGTGTATAAATAATGCGTTTATGCCCATTTGTCTCCCCCACTATAAATATAAACTCCATAAGAATAGACTTCATCATTTCTGCCCGGCTCTATACCTAGCTGACACAATAAACTTTGGCACATTAGCAAGTAGTACTACTCTAGAAATAACTGCTAAATTAGTGAACAAATGAACAATGAGCACCTTGGAGTCTCTGGTGGCATTTAAAGGGACCGACAAGCCACACCTGCGTAGCTAAGCAGCTGTTCTCTGGCCTCCGCTCTCTGCAGCCCTGAGGGCCCCTCTTCCTCCTCCACCTGCTCCCACTCTCACCACAGTCACCAGGCCCAGTCCTGCTCCAGGACATTCTAAAGTTTGAAGCACTTCTCACCCTTGCCTTCCAACTTCCACTCAGTCTTACCTTTGATTTCAAATTCTAAACACCCACACAACAGCTGCTAGGAATATGCCCTCCCATCCAAATGACAGGCACTGCACGGAGCAGATAGCACAGAGGAGTCTCTGAAGTGGTCAAAAGTCACACTTGCACTAGCACAGAGATGATATTCCCTGGTGGGAAGATGAAATACTGTAAATGTCTTCTGCTTACCAAGTAAATCCAAAGTCGTGTCATATGAAAATAAGAGGGTTCCAGCACCAAAATTAAGTAAATCAAAAAAATATAAAGAAGTCTGGAAAAAGACCAGATGGCATATGACATTTTTAGGGATTAAAGTAAATTCAGAAATTTGATAAAAAAGATTGAATCAGTAAATGATAATAAAACTTTTTGCTTTTTTAAAAATAAAAGTTGGTCTTAACTCATTTGAAACAAAAAAGAATATTTTCTATGATTTAGGGCTATATTTTTATTTAAAATGTTTAAAAAGTGTAAGCTAACATTTGTAATTATAGGGTCACTTTTCTAAACTCAAGTGACATCAGTCTTTATGAGCACTGAGAATCTCTGTCATCTCTTCTCTTTTTAACTTAATTGCTTTAAAAATATCTCAAAGTTTCAATTTGCTTTTTTTTTTTTTTTTTTTTT